AAGGCTTATCCTGACAACCCCATTTAATACTACAATCTGTCTCTATTCACCCCTATTTGCATTCCTAATTTCCCTTACTCTTCTTTACTTTTCTTTTTTTCCACAGCACTTATCATCTTCTAACATTCCATAGTTTTCTTATTTAGTATCTGATTTTCCCATCTCATCATCCAATAGAACTTTCTGTGATGATAGAAATGTTCCATATCTGCACAGTAGCTATCAGCTGCATGTGGCCACTGAGTACTTGAAATGTGGCTAGTGCAACTGAAGATCTGAGTTTTTAAATTTTTCCTAATTTTAATTAATTTAAATTTTAATCTAAATAACCACATGTGGCTAGTGGCTATCATATCAGGAATAGCTCTAGACTCTGAGTGTCATAAGAGCAGAGTATCCTGAGCACCTGGCAGAGTGCCTGACACATAGTAGGAACTCAATAAAAATATGATATTTTGGCCAGGCATGGTGGCTCACACCTGTAATCCTAGCACTCTGGGAAGCCAAGGCGGGAGGATGGTTTGAGCTCAGGAGTTCGAGACCAGCCTGAGCAAAAGCAAGACCCCATCTCTATTAAACACAGAAAAATTAGCCGCATGTCATGGCGCATGCCTGTAGTCCCAGCTACTTGGGAGACTGAGGCAGGAGGATTGTTTGAGCCCAGGAGTTTGAGGTTGAAATGAGCTATGATGATGAAACTATACTCTACTTGGGCACATTTTTTTCCTCTATAAAAAATGAGCTAATAAATGTGTGATCAAAGTCCAAGGCCAACTTCTCCAAGGCTGTAAGACTCCATTGGTGGAGATAGGGTCAGATCCCAGGAACTCATCACTCAGGAAACATGCCTGTTTCCTAGCATGTCAAGGAAAGATCCAGAAGTCTGGGCAGAGGCTTTCTGACAGTATGTCTGTAAGTAAGAACAGTGCCTGGTCCTAGGTTTTACTGATTTTATAAACACATTTGCTCACACATATAAATTAAGGAAACAAACAATCCATCCTGCACAGAATCCAAACCCTCCAATCTCTGCCAATATGTAATCCACTTGGTTCATTTGTGGTTATCATCAGAATTCAGAGCAGACACTTTCCACAGGCATGGTTTTACAGAGGGAACTTATAATAAATTTGTAAAGTATTGGGCCCTCCCAATGGTAAGAAAGATGAGGGTACATTTCAGCATTTCCTGATGAAGAAGCTGAGGTCACGGAATATAATGTTTTATGCACCTGCATCCTGGAAAACAAGCAAAATTTCCAAACAGTGATAGAAATTTATTTGCTTTTTACACAATTTTAAAGTACTATATAGGAAATTAAACAACTATAGGGTGAATGATATTTTTAAAAACTGTTTGGAGATGAAATATAAAATTAGTTTTATGATACCAAATCAAGAATTTCAACTGTTTCCTTATAAAATCTTATTTTAAGGATCCATAAGACCAATGTTTTTAGTTGTGCAAAGGTTATCAAAGAAGTTACAAGTGTTGTACTAAATTGCAATAATATGAAAGATTAGGCAATATTTTCCTTGTATTATCTACTTAGTTCCTTAGGTTCCTAGTAAAAGTACTGGATTATATTATTATATTATATAGATATTATATATAGATAATATATCTATATATTATATAGATATTATTATATCTGTTATTTAGTTTAAAATACTTCAGCATATATTTGTATACTAATGTTTATGGCAGCCTTATTCACAATAGCTTAGAGGTGGAAACAACTCAAATGTCCATTGATGAATACACAGATAAAATGTGGTATATACATACAATTCAATGTATGTAGCCTTAAAAAGAAATGAAATTCTAGACATGCTACAACATGGATGAACCTTGAAGGCATTATGCTAAGTGAAATAAGCTAGTCACAAAAGGACAAATATTGTATGATTCCACTTAAATGAGATGTTGAAAGTAGTCAAATTCATAGAGACACAAAGTAGAATGGTGGCTGCCAGGTGGAATCTTATGCTATGTATATTTTATCAAAATTAAAATAAAAACAAAAACTTCAGCATGTGCAGGGAGATACTATGTGGTCATTACTTAGGTTAAGCTATAACCAGGAGCTGCCTGCATGCTAATCGAGAAAGCACAATGCAAGGGTTGTCATTCCAATTAGCTACCACAGGTGGTTGTTATCTGTATCTCAGCCCACAAGCAATGCTTTGCTAATTAACACACTGAAAGTCAGAAATGGGTTTTTTGTTGATGAAATTAGTAGTCACTTATGGAGCCCAGTGAATGTTCGAGAAAGGCTCTCATTAGTGAAATGAGGAGTTTTCATTATATGTGGATTGGCAGAAATATTTTAGAGACGCTCCCCACACCCGTTTCACCAGGGCATAAGAATCCAATTAGTCCTGTATCCTGTACTCTCAGAGATGATGGCCTAGGCTAAATCTCTAAATGGTCCTGTGCCAAGTCAGGAACACTGGGGGCGGGGGGCTGGATCCCTTATGCTAGCCAAAGGGTGACAGAATGCTGCCCCTGGGATCTTCATAGTGGCCTTCAGTAAACATTTTGTATGAGTTGGGGTCAGCGTACTTAAAAATATACAACTGAAACATGCTCAAGTCTACCAAACAGATCTTAGAAATTCCATGTGTGTGTCTGTGTTTACTAGCTAAGAAGTGTTTACTTAATGGATGTTTTATATGTGACAGTATTTGTCTGGTAGTGAAGTAACCTCAAAACTTCTTCAGAGGCTACCATGGTTTCCCAAAAAGATCCTAAGAGTTATTACGTATGACAAAATCAGCTGAAGTCAGTTCACAATCTCCAGCACAGAGGCCAGAGGGAAATTCTAGTGTCCAAAGGATCTGAGAAACCAACCCATGAAAAGTCAGATTGTTAGTCCTAAGAATACAAATTGAGATGGTTTAATTTACACTCCTCTCTGACTTTAGAGATACAAAATTAAGCCTCAAAAATGGTGAGTGATCTTCCGAAGTACAAACTAATTTCATAAGAAGAAACTAAAGGGAAACCTTTGGTCTCATCATTATTTAAAAGCTTCCAGTTATTGAGCAATTATTATGTGTCAGGCATACCGCTAGGTGTTTTAATATGTGATCACTAATTCTCACACAATCGCTGCAAGGTGAATACTGTGGTCCTCAGTTTTCAGAGGAAGAACTGAAGTTCAGAGAGGCTGTTCCAGCAGATGCTGTCAGTGTCCCACCCACAGCATTCCTCACTAGATGGAGTCATCTGATGGCAACAGTCTCCAGGGCTTTCTTGGCCTGTAGGCTGGAAGTGCTGGAGATAATATACCCCTGGGATCAGCCCTCAGCCAATGGTAACAGCTTCCTTCCTGCAGGTGGGATACCTCTGAGGCATGTTGTACACTGTCTTCCAGATTCCATAAGTCACCCAGTGGCCGACAGGAGTAACCTGCTTGATAACATGCTGCTTATTAGCTTCTTTCCTCTGTCTGACTAATTTCCTCACTCTCCATCTGTGCTTCCTGGGATCAACTTTCAGATGATCTATCTGCCTCCATTCCTTGTCTCAGGGAATGCTTTTGGGGAATGCACCCAAGCCAACCATGTCATCTTCCCAAGATAACCCAGCCAACCATTAGGTTGCACAGTTGGAACATGGACCCAGGTCTATGTGAGTTTTAGGATCATGGTCTTCTATTCTGATTTATTGAATTAAATTTTCCTTCCTTAGCAAGTAGAGATAACATAGAAGTGGAAGGAGAGAATAGATATTATAGAAAAAACTCTTGAGTTTTCTCAAGTCATTTGTTTGATTAGCATCTCAACCCTCATGGTCTTACATTCACCACTCTGCATTATATTAATATGGAGCAGGTTACCTTAATGATGTTTAATAATCTGATTAGTCAATGTGGTAGGTTGAATAATGGCCCCCAAAGATGTCCATATCCTAATCCCCAGGGCCCACTGAACGTTCCTTGTCCTTATATGGCAAAAGGGTACTCTCAGATGTGATTAAATTAAGCATTTTAAGATGGGGGATATTATCTTGGATTATCTTGGTGGATCCAATGTAGTCATAATGGTCCTTATAAGAGAGATCTACAAGGTAGTCAGAGAAGAAGACAATGTAATGATGAAAGCGGAGATGGGAGTGATATGCTTTGAATATGGAAGAAGGGGCCAAAAAGGCATTAGAAGCTGAAAAAAGGCAAGGAAACAGATTCTTCCCTCAGACTCTCCAGAAGGAACCATCCCTGCCAACACCTTAACTTTAGCTCAGTGAAACTGATTTCTGACTTTTGACCTCTAGAAAGGTAAAAGAACAAATTTGTGTTGTTTTATGCCACTAAGTTTGTGGTGATTATTGTTACAGTGGCAACAGAAAACTAATGTAATTAACTAAGCATTACCAGTGATAATAAGAGACAAGATTTATGCAGCTCTCACAATGTCTAGGCATAATGCTGGGTGTTTTCTGTGCACCATAACCCCCCAGAAATATTTCTGTGAAACTAATTTTAATTTCTTCATTTTACAGATGAGGAAACTGACATTTAGAGAGGTTAAGAGGTTAAGAACTTGCTTCAAATCACACAGCTAATACCTGAACTCAGGCCTTTCATACCCCCAAACCATGTTCTTAATTAAAACACAAAATCTGAATCCTTGAAACTGTGAGTAAAAGAAGGCAAGTGAAAGGACATTGATTGCCAGTGTTGCCAAGCAGCCTGCCTTCAATTACTTGTTGAAGAGTGAGAAACAACAATATACACCATCAGTCTGATCCTCACCATTTTCCCATCACAAAACCTCTTCCCTACTCCCCTCTGTGTTTCTAGAAAAGGATAGTTTAACCCAAACAGTAGTGATGGCTGGACAGGGATAAGTTAGTAATTGGGTGTTTTGGTTTCTAAGGTCTTCTTAGTTCCTATTTTCTATCAGAATTGAGCCCACAAGAAATTCCCCCAGTAGCTTTGAAATCAGAAGTGGCTTTGCAAGCCCAGAAAGAAATACATCCTATTTATTTATTTATTTAATCTGAAATTAAACTTATTCTTTATTAAATTTACAATACCACTTTACTGCAGTCTTAGACTCCAAGACACTTTAAATAATATTTGGTCGCTGAGGAAGGCATAAGTTATAGTAAGCATCCTTGTTCCAAAAGTCTGGACCCTTCCATCCACACCAGCCCTTTTCCAAAATAACCTGTAGATCTTCAGCTCCTGTATAATGTGGATCTAGAATCAGAAATTTTATCTGCCCTGTTATCTCATTCCATGTAACTCCGAGTATTGTGTGGGCCAAAACTCCTCCTCCGATCATAATCGGCGTTCCCTCAGTCTGGAAATGATTAGCCAGTTCTCGTCCTTGAGAGGCCATTTCTGAACCTTGGCTGACAAACAGTATTTTTGAAGTTACACCAATCAGTTGGTTTAGTACCAGCTGTACCTCAATAGATCCAATCCATTGCCGTGATCCGACAAATGTTGCTGGTTTATCACCGGCATCAACTAGAGCCTGCTGGATTTCTCTGTGTGTTGGAATGGACCGCTCTGTGTATCCCTGGTGTTTGAACCAAGAGCAGATCGTCTGCAGAGATCGATAAGCACAGCCCCAGCCGTTGTCATCTATCCGATCCTGCATGTAATGATGGTAGCCATATGTGCCCTGGACCACATAAATCATACCAGTTTCTATGTTAGGTGGATTAAGATAAGTATGTGGATTTCTAATGTAACCATCTTTGTATGGTTCATCTGGAAAGTGATAAGCATTAGACCTTTTGAAATAAGGTCTGTCATGAGGCAGATTGAAGAGATCATGTAGCTCCTTTCTATAGGCCTGAAGCTGACCATCTGGAATTCCTGACGGATATGAAATTGTTACGAGACTTTTTTGCCCTGGTAATAAAAAGTGCAGTGGTTCAGGGACCACAATAGATGTTCCTTCAAATATTTCAAAATGCATTTTTCCATATCAGTTAGTTGATTATGAATTGCATCAACTAGAAGTTTACGAACTTTGCCCCATGTTTCTTCTGGAGCAACAGATATAACTGCATCAACTGGTAAAGTCATATTAACATAATGGTGTCCTCCGTTTTCCCTTTCGATGATGGGAGTCACAGCTGCCTGAGAGGTTGACATTTCCAGCATAAGATCTATATTTACTATTTGATGCATGTCCGATAACTTTTTGTCTTTCTTTCTCATGAATTTTCGTTTTATATCTTCTTCCTGCTCAAATTGAATAAAGCGCATTACGTTCTTACAAGCAGAGCTATCAGTCAGTTCTCCTGGAATGGTGTTTATGTCACTGTTGGGCCATATATACACCGAACTGTGGCAAATTCTGAACACAAGTGCATTTGAAGAAAGCTTGGTAGACAGATCACTTAACACATGTTTTAGTGCCTTCTTGATAAAAAGTTCATTAGCAGTAGCTAGCTGAAAAGCCAGATCAAGGCCTCCTCTTATTCTGAAGAGTATATCCATAGTTTCTGAAATCCCCATGTCCGCAACGTGGCGGTGACACGGGCACTGACACCTGCCCACGGGTTCCTATTTATTTATTTATTTATTCAGTTTGAGTGCATTTTCATTTTTAAAACAAACAAAAAGCTCAAGTGATCATATTAAATTTAAAAAGGAGTAAGATTTGACTGGTTCACATAGCTAGAGCTTATCTCTCAAACTATAACATATTGTATGCTCTTCCAGAACAGCAAGTACGTCTTACATACCTTCCTCCCTTTAGCATCCAACATAAGGTAACCAGTAGAGAGACAGAGTGAGAGAGACTGATTAACCAATGTAATAAATAAATAATGAAGGGACAAACAAATGAATGAAAAAAGTAATGTGGGAAAGGAGGGTGGGGCATTACTTTCATGTAAGTCCTGTATTTATGCATTATTATCATATGCACTTATGCATTTGCATTTGCATGCACTTATACCATTAACATTGATAATGGTGGCTCTTTGTTTGAAACTTTGTTGAGCCATTCTTTATCAAAAGATAGTACATGTTTCATTTGCCCTATGCCAACTCTAATCTACTGCTATTGGCTGCCTAGACCCCTATATCTCAAAGAAACATATGGCCAAACAAGACTCAGTTGGAAAGAATGTGTGATTGATTTGTGGTTCCTGCTTTGTACTTAGAATAGCGGAGTTGTAGAAATATATTTGCTAAAACTGTTTACACAATTTGATCAACTGTGGGCAGAGCATACTGCCCAACTTTGTTTTAAGACAATGCCATCACTTCCAAAACTATCTCTACTCTATGAATATGTAGTTTCTACCTCTCCTTCTTTATTAGTTTCTTTAATGTGACATCCAACAAATCTTACTTTATGCTTTTAGGCATACACAGAAACAATGACTTTAATTTGAGGATATATTTGAAAAGAAGTTTAAATCAATGTTTGTCAAGTTCTGTGAAGATGAGGAATATTATACATGCCAAGAATCATTAACAATAAAGCTTTGTTTAATATTTCTTAACAATACAAGTTAAGGGTATTATTCTAATCAAGTTCCTTTGATTAGAATCATTCACTCAGGGAATGAATGATTCTTTACCTCCCACATAATGATTTTGTGAAATGAATATATAATTCATACAATTCATAATAATTTAAATTAATCATACATATTTAACTATAAAATCATTTCTAATACTTAGGAATCTTAAAAGAATTTTCTCACTTGTCTTGTTTTAAAATGATCCAATAAGCAATTGATCACTAGATTTCACCTTTTTACTTATTTATTCCCAGGAATATATCCTGGGGCCATTCTATGAGTCATTTTCCCACTAAGAAAACCACCAGAATCAAAAGGCCAACAAGAACATTGTTTCATCAATAATTACAATAATAATACCATTTTTAACAAAGCTCTTCAATCCAACTGAATAAGAAAAAATACAGAACAAAGCTCTTCAAGTTCACAACTTTTTCGCCTACAATATCTTCTTGACTTTTATTTATGTCCTATGCATTATTTTCAAATTATAGATATTAAATGAGGCTAAAAGAGGTTATTTATCCAGTTATTGAATAAACACCAGAGCTCAGGACACTAGCTCAGATGGTGGGTTTAGATCCTACCCCCATGCCTGGCCTTCCCGGTTTCTATTACTCCCCTGTGTGAGTCCTCAGACTGGAGCCATGCCAGTGTCCCCAGTGCACCATGCTAATTCCCTCCTCTGTTACCTTTCTCATCTTTTCTCCTTGCCTGTTTGCCCACTCCTCTCTCCTCCACCACCCATTCGAAATCTGTAACACTTTGTGGCTCTGCTCAAAGTCACCATCTTCATCAAGTCTTCTTCACTCTTCTCTCTGATCTCCTTCTACTCTTACAGTTTTAATACTTGATGATATATCACTATATGCTGTTTGATCTCGATTCATTCCACAAATAATTTTTGAGGACTCTATCATATGGCAAGTACTACTTAAAGCTCTGGGGATTCAGCAGAGAAGAAGGTAGCCTCTCAGGGAGCTCATATACAAGTTGGGGCTCACACTTCCACTGTTCACATCTAGATTTTAAGCTCCTTGGCAACAGTAACCATGCTTTTGATTTCTCTACGTCTATGAAGGAACAATGTAATTTCACTGCTGTACACACAGCTGATCATGGAATCAATAAAGTGGTTGTCTTGGTGGCGTAGACATATAGCTAGTTAATGTCAGGGGACTAGCCAAGTAAACATATTTGAGATATTAGCTCACTCTATTCTCCCATAATTTTCTAACTAGAAAAATATCTATTGCTGTTGAGGAAGGTACATTTTGGAATTCTCTAGGAAGAAACCTGTAAAGGAATTATGAGGAGGAACTGCCTGGAGATTGGTTTCCTATGTGTGCTAAAGCAAAACGCTAAATATCCATTTCTCACACATATGCCTGGAAAGTCCTGCCACACTTGGGAATAGCATTTTAAGAAGTTTTAATTTATTGTGCTTATCAATATATTTTTCCCTTCTTTGATCTTTTCCTTGAGGACAACTATAGCTGCTCTTACAACATTTTGGGCATGGTGAGAATTTAGCATCACCACTCACTCAGAAAAAATATATTTTAAGAATTTTTACCATAACAAAAATGAATAGGGGTAGAGTTGAACCCACCAAAACAAAATGCCTGTCCCTTCGAAATCTTATAGGAAGTGATCAGAGAGGGAGTTTGGGGATTTATTCCAGAAAATCAACCTGGAGAAATTTGGCATCTTCAATGTTTTAAAACTTGCTTTTTTAAAAGAACCTGGTTGCTCTGTCAAATTAAAATTTTATTTCATAAGCTTAAGTGTTATTATAGAATTTAGTACTCTCCTCTTTCCTTCTCTTCAGGGAGAAAGGTTCTGCCAAGGCCTCTTGCCTTTGTTTTTATTCCTTTGCCATAAAGCAATGTAATAAGAGACTGTTCTATTCCCTACAAGTACCCTTCAAGTCCCAGACACTCTTCATCCCTCTGCCATCTTCACCCATTAGGGCTCCACTGTTCAGGTGCATATCAAATGCCTCTCCTTCAAAATGACTTTCCCGAATTGTCCTTAAGCAGTTTAAACTTTTTCTCTTTTCAATTTTACAGCACTTATAAGTTTTCTCAGTTATAATATTTTGCCGTGTTATTTAGGCATGTTCATATCTTATTTCCCTTTCTAGGAGGTAAACCTGAGGGAAGAGCTGTGTTTTATCAAATACCTAATTCAATCCAGCACAAAGTAGATATATAACAAATATTTTGAATTGACTTTCCAGGTTCTCTCTCTCTCATAAAGTAATAGGAAGAAGATTGGCACCAGGACACGGATGATGTTTTCTATATTTTTTGGTCTCTGGAGTACTCCTCCTCCATGTGTTCAAATCCTGGCTCCATCATCATAAGCTATGTGAATTGGCCAAGATACTTACTTCTCTCAGCTTTAGTTTCCTCACCCATTAAGTGAGATTAGTAATAAGATTACCACAGAAAACATTTAGAAAGTACCTAGCACATAGAACTCAATTAATGTAGTTATCATCATCATCATCCTCACCACCACCACCATTATTTCACTGGAAAACTGTTGATGACTGTTGTTATTTTAAACAGAAATAGCAAATTCTAATACCTTTAGGGTCCAGGAAGGTAACATGAGAAAAGTAAAATTCAGAACTTGGTGGTAAGAAAAACAAGCAGCCAATTACAACGTAGTGTGATTAATGCCATGTTATAGGTTTACTATGAAAACACAGAGGACGGGTACCAAATCTTAGATACTAAATGGAGGCATAACAACAAAAACAGCCACAATCATGATCGTTAACATTTCCTGAGTGATTTAAATGTGTGAAGAAGCTATTTGAGCTGAATCTTAAAAGATAAGTAGAAATTAGCCAGGGAGACTAGAAAGGGAGACTGTTAGAAGTAGAGAGGGCAGCATATAAAATGAAGAATTGTACAATAATTTGGTGTTTTTAAGGAACTTCCAGGAGGATGCTATGACCAGAGTGAAGTCCACACGAAAAGCTGGTAAGAGACCACATTGGAGAGTTTGGCAGGTCATGAAGGACCTTGAAAGCCACATTTTGGGAAGATAACCAGGAACAATGCAGTCATGAGAAATGTTGAGTACCTTAACTCAAGCAACTGCATAGTGAATAGAGGAAAGGCTACATTTAAAAGATAGCACTGGCACATCTTAAGGGTTGAATGGAGAAGGGCGAATGAGCAAGAGAGGTCTAAGTCAACGCCCAGTTTTCAGGTTTGAGTAAATAGGACAATAATTTGCTATTCTTAGGGACAGGTTATAGGAAGGGTGAGATAAAAGTTCCCTTTTGGGTATGCTGACTTTAAATATCCACAGGATACCCCAGTGGTAATGCTGGCTGCATGGATTGTAAAATCTGGAGATATAGATTTGGGAATCTATATATTAATAGTTATCTTCCAGGAACAGTGACATGAATATAAAGAGTCCAAGGATGCTACCCTAGCACATGACACTGAAGGGACTGACACAAGGAGAGGAAGCTAAAAAATGATGAGGAAGAGAGAGACGCAAAGCCAGGGAAGAGGATTATACAGAAGCTAAGGAAGCAGAGTTTCAAGATGTAGGCAGTGGTCAACTGTGCCAATGTTTCAGAGTAATCAAGTAAGAGAAGGACTAGAATGGGCCAGTTTAATTTGACCAAAAGGAAGACTTTTGTGTCCTAGGAAAGGAAGTTCCAGGTGGAGTTCAGAGTGCAGTGGAAGGAGAAATGAGTGAGAGGAGAAAAGGCTTGGCTGAAAAGAAAAGAAGGAGCTGAAGGATCATGGCATTGAGTGAAGGTGTTTATATATTTTTTTAAATGGAAAATACTTGAAATATTTTATATTCTAAAGAGAAAACTTTAGTGAATTGAAGTTATAGGATAGAAATAATTGCCAGTTTGATCTGCTTGAGGGTGGAGAAGGGGACAGGACCCAGAACATAGCCCTGGATAAGAAGAGGGACACAGATCTACTGTATCAGAAAGGAAGAGTGGGATTGGATGAGGAATGGGCTTCTATGCTGAGCAGGGCAGGAAATGGAGGGTAGGAGAACATCACTGGTGACAGTTTGGGAGAGGAGATGACTGAGGACACTAGCAGGATTATGAGGTCTCATTGAAGGCCCAGTTAAGATTGGAGGCCATAAATTTGCAATGGCACCAAGTTAGTATATATATATGACAGCCCTGGGCTGTTCAGCATGGATGGGGCAGAGAAGGCAGATGAGTGAATGGATATGAGATGTTCAGACCTCTGAGGGAATAGCTCATGTTTAGTGATTTCCTCGGCCTGAGATTTCATTATGCGTCTGAACAATTTGCAAACCTGCAAATCATCTGAGATTTTTCCCAAAGCTGTGCTGAATACTAATTCATCTAGATAGACACTATAACCTGCAAGGGAATTGGAGACTTTAAACTCAATTCTCTCTTGACACTTAAGAAATGAATGGAGAATTATGTGTCCAATTCTTAGTCCTTGGAGAGTCAGGCACAAAAGTGTTTTATAAGAGTTATCAAGAAGAGTTTTGTTCTTCTCAGAATGAGCGTTGTGAAAAGAGCAAAAGGAAAAGAGGAGCAAGGAGGTGTTCACAGGAGAAGGAGGGGCTTACCAAGAGCATTCCCTACCTTTGTGTGTGAAGCCTGATACCTTATGTGATGTCTACAATAAGTACTAATTCAGTGGATTTAGGATACCACAAAACGACTCTAATATCTCCAACTCTGACCCCAATACCAGACTCTAGGAATTGGCTATGATAAAACTTTATATCTAAAATCAAAGGCAAAGAAACAGCAGGCAAATGAGTGTCTTTAAAGATTTCAGATTCTGATTGGGGGTTTAACCTATCAGTAGGCCTAGTCCTTACAAAGAATACAGAAAGGAAGAGAGGCCACTGTCCAGGTAATAAGCTTCAAGAGTGAGTTCAATCTCCACTGATATCTATGCCACTCACGTGTCACAACGGGGTCCTTCCCACACCTCTCCCCTCTCCCCTGGGTGGTTCTACAGAAGTACCTATTGGAAAAGGAATGTATCCCCCAAACTCTGAATCTGTTCTATGTTTGTATGAAACTGAATATTTCATAGCCTTTAAACCCTATGATACTGAGGATAACCACAGCTGACAATAGGTTTTTGACAGATTTCAAAGGTAGTGGGTGTTAAATCTAAATGCTGCACACAGTTTTCTACCAGAGTTTTTATCCCACATATTTTCCACTTAGTTATGAAGCAAGAAAAGGCTACTGTTCTTTACCATAATTTTAGCAACCCATAATTTCAGTATTATGTGTCAAACAAGTGCAATGCATATGTATGCATGCACATACACACAAATGTAAACAGACAAATAGTTAAATGGTGGGAACCATGAGCTTTGTTGTTTTTTGTTTCTAGAGGTATTCAGGATAACTTACAGCTTCTTTAGGGTGGTAAGAAGTTCAGATGAACCTGATGTTTTCTATGCATCCATCTTTCTCTCTCTCACTTCAGTAGACTTTGGCAACTATTTCATTGCTTTGCCCTTCTTTATAATTTCCCTACTGACCCACTGCCTCATGGGAAAAGCCTTTCTTACTGTTCCTAAATCCCTAAATGTTCCCAAGTTCATAAGTTCCTAAATGCTAGGGACATGATTCTTGAGATCATATCAACTGATCATAAATGAACAATGGCAAGACTAAAAGATTAATTTTAAAAATAGCACAAAGAGAACTTGAAATGTTCACCATGGAAAAAATCATACTGCTCTAAGACTGATTTTATACTATGAAGACATTTGATCTAAACGAGAAGAAAGCAACCCATGACACCTAGGAACTGGCCTGACATTTACAGGTAGGCATCAGAGCTATTGAAGAAACCAGGCTATCTTCTTCTCTTGCCGGACCCATAATCTAACAGAACACCAGCATCAGACAAGGTCACTCTGCAATTGTAATGAAATGGGTCAAAAATAGCCACTTCATAATTTTGGTTAAGCCCAGAAAAAAAGTCAATGTCAAACTACAAAATACCAACCATCCCCTTTTCTCAGTAATGTATGAGTGACTGTTGGATCTTTACTAATTAAAACTTTAGTCCCCATCTGGTCTGCCCTCCCCATAGA